ATTATTCATAAAGTTCAGTGTTTAAACAAAATTTTAGTATTATTTCATTCAAAAATGACTGAAATAGGGACCAGCAGTTAGCGTAACGGCTATGTCACTGGACTCCCATGTAGTCAACTGCAGTTTGCGTCCTGGACCCGGTGGTTTAAACTCACGCCAGGCGCGTGTGCGTGCGTGCCCAAGATCCCAAGAGGAGAAAGGAAGAGAAGGGATTGCAGCGTGGCCATCCCCCCTGGGAGGTGATTTCTTGCTTTCTGTTTCTCTGGCGAGCGCATGCACCCTAAAGCAAAAACCTCTTAAAAAAAAATGACTGAAAATATGTTTAGCATTCAATATATTAATGAATCTGCCAGTCTAGCTATTGTAACAAACTATATTTACTTTTTTATTGGGTTGTCAGAAAAGTCAAGATGCATTTTTATATAGAAAAATGTTTACAATTACTTACTGTAATGACTTTCCCAACATCATGACTTTCCCAATAACCTAATATAGGAGATAGCACTTTAAATGGGGAAAGGATCACAGACATTTGATGTCAATGCTTATTAAAAATACAAAGTGGGCAAGCCTTACAGCCTAGTAGGATCCTTCACTGGGATCTTACCAAGTGGATGATCAGTTTGAATCCTGACTCAGACACTTCAAAAACATGCCAGACACATGTATGTGCATGCCCAAAATCTCAACAGGGTGAAGAAATGGAAGAGACTAGACTGCAGCATGACCACACCTCATTGTGGGGTGCTTTCTCTGTCTGTCTGGAACCAGCCGATGGCATAATGGTTATATCCCTGGACTCCCGTGTAGTTGACTATGGTTTGAGCTACAGACCCAGCGGCTTAAAACTCACGCCGGGTGCCTGTGGATGCAAGTCCAAAATCCTAAGAGGAGAATGGAGGAGAAGGGATTGCGATGTGGCCATGCCCTTGGGAAGTAATTTCTCACTTTCTATCCCTCTTTCTCTCTGGTGAGCGCACACACCCTATAGCAAAAAAATCTCTCTCTTTAAAAAGAAAGAAAGAAAGAAAAATATTACGTGGCCCTCAAGAGTTCATAGGACAAAATACACAGAAATAATAACATTCTACATATATCTTTCACAGCCTATCAAATGTGTTATTTCAAATTTGATAACACATTTTAAAAGGATCTAAGCAAACAGCAAATTAGAAATAATATGACTGTGACTCATTGGACAGGTTTAGTTTCTTAGAAAGTTTAAGTTCATACTCAGTTGAGTAATGTTCAAGCTTATAAATGTCTGAAAGTCATCTAAGTCATTAAAATTTCATTTATAGGGACCAGCAGATGGCATAGTGGTTACATCACGGGACTCCCACATGGCCAACCAATGTCTGAGTCCCAGATCCAGTGGCTTGAAAATCACGCTCGGCACATATGCATGTGTGCCCGAGATCCCAGGAGGAGAATAGAGAAGGGACTGTGGCAAGGCCATCCCCCCGGGGGTGATGACTTACTTTCGCTCTCACTGTCTCTGTCTGTCTCTCTCTGGAGTATGCAGATGAACTACAGCCAAAAACTCTTAAAAAAAAAAAATTCATTCCTATTCTAAAAATGAGAGTAAATTATTTTTATACACAGTTTAAATTAGGCTGAAAATTATGTATTGCATAAACACTAAAAAGAAACATTTTTTCCATTTTTATAAATTTCAATTTTATATTCTTTTTTAAAAAACTCACAATGGGGGACCCACAGATGGTGTGGTGGTTGAGGTGCTATAATCCTACATGGCTGATTATGATCTGAGTCTCAGACCTTGGTGGCCTGCTTTCTTACTTCTTCACTTTCTCTCTCTCTTGTGCATGTGCCCTACAGCAAATCTTTAAAAATAATAACTTAAATAATTCTTAATAACTTAAATACTCACAATGCATCTACAAAACTATAATTTACCAAATGTTCAAAATCCTTTGCATTTTAGGTTCCTTATTTAAAATACTTCTACTTAAACACTATATTGATGCCAAAAAAAGACACTGACTAAATAGTCTATACATAAATGTCTAACATAACATATTTGACACCTCTTACCAAAAATAGGCTTTCTCTAAGGTCCCTAAAGTAATTAATTTTCCCTCATCATCAGGTGATAGGAATTCTATTTTGTAACTGGAAATATTTCAATATTATAAATATTTCAGTATTATAAATATTTCAATATTATAAAAAGTCCATTCAGAAATCAATGAACTTGAAAAACACAAAATATATTTGATCACTAAGAAACTATACTATTATCAGGCATTTAAAAAAATAATCTTTTTTTGGCCAGCAGATGGCAAGGTGGCTGAGGTGCTAGATCCCACATAGCTAACTCCACAGCTCAAGTCCTGGACCCGGCAATGTGAAAAACACACAGAGCCTGTATGCGTGCCTGACAAAAATCCTGAGAGAAGAATGGTGTAGAAAGGACTGCAGTGGTGAAACCCAACACTCTGTTGGTAAAACCCAACCCAATACTATCTGGCAAGATTTCTGATTCACATCCAGACTGAGAATACCATGCTTGCTCATGATCCAGGTCTAGCTAAAGGCTGGAAGTAGATTGTGGTGTCAAGATTGTGATATTCCCACATGACAGACTGTGGTTTCAGTTCCAGACTTGGTGGCTTCAAAAATCATGCTGGGCATGTGTATATGAGTGCCCAAGATCCTGGGAGGAGAATGGAGGAGAAGGAATTGCAATGTGGCCATCCCCGCGGGGATTTCTCACTTTCTCTCTCACTATCTCTCTCTCTCTCCAGAAAGGACACGCACCCTAAATCAAAAACCACTTAAAAAAAAACAAAAAAGGGACCAGCAGATGGCATAATGGTTATGTCATTGGATTACCATGTAGTTAACTGCAGTTCGAGTCCCATACCCAGCAGCTTAAAACTCACGCCAGGCACATGTGTTTGCATGCCCAAAATCCCGAGAGGAAAATGGAAGAGAAGAGGTTTTGGCATGGCCATACCCTTTAGGGGGTGATTTCTCGCTTTCTGTCTCTGTGGTGAGTGCACGTGCCCTATAACAAAAATCTCTCAATAAAAGACCTGTTGGGGTGCTGTCTCTCTCTTTTCATCTTTCAGAAAAACTAAATAAATTTTTAAAATAATTTTATTCAAAAATTATGTTGTACCATAATTCTCAATTTCCCTTTTGTGAAACTTTTCCCCCCCAAAAAAAATTATTCATAAAAAAATTCATGTACTGGGACCAGCAGATGGCCTAATGGTTACATCGCTGGACTCCCATGTAGTTGACTGCGGTTTGGGTCCCAGACCCAAAAGCTTAAACTCATGCCAGGTGCGTGTGCATGCGTGCCCAAGATCTGTAGAGGAGAATGGAGAAGGGATTGCAGCATGGCCATCTCCCCCAGGGGGTGATTTCTCACTTTCTGTCTGTCTTTCTCTGTCATTTTGGCAAGCGCATGCACCCTATAGCAAAGACCTTTCAAGAAGGAATAAAATAGAAAGGAAAACAATAAGAAATTTACTGTAGTTCATGAGGAAGTAAGATGTATGGTTTTATGATTTTTAAAATTAAATATGAAATGTTTTGTACCTGGTAAAAATGTTGTTATAACCTTTGACATTTCCTCCACAATTTCCTGACGGACTTTGTGGTCATCATCTGTTATTCCTTGTTCTTTTGCTAATTCAATAACTGCAACACTTAAAGCAGCCAAGTGGGCAGGAGAAGGAGGTGGCAGAGAACGAAGCTCACTTTCTTCCTGCTTTTCCTGTTAGTGTACCATTTGAAAACAACAACAAATCTATTTTAATGTCCTTATATTTAAGGCAAGACAAAAACAAACTCAACAAAAATTCACCCTCTGTGTAGCATATATAAGACATACATAATATATAAACAACAAAAGAGACAGAGACCTCTGTCTTTGTGAAGCAGGATTTGAATACTGAGAAGAGCTGTGGGGAAGGTTACTATTAATTTATCCTTTGATATCATAAGTATAACGAACACTTAGCTAATGATTTTCTTGAAGCAGGAACAAATTTTCTTAGCTGTAACATAAGATCTTGAACACATTTAATCAGCATATACAGTATCAGGAGAAATAGTCAAAGAAAAACATTCTAGCTTTTATCATCACATTAGAAACACTACCCACTATGTACAATTGGTGCCTCTATTATTTTATCCAACCCTAGATAAAATGTTCAAAAACTTCTATTCTGCTAAATGTTTGACAGTCAATTTAAAACAAGAGGAAAAGAGGGAACTACGGGATTGGTCTACAGTAGTTAAGGGAGCCAGATCTCACATGGCCAACTCCAGTTCAGATCACAGCCCAGGTGACTTACAAAACACACTAGGCATGTGTGCATGCACGCCCAAAATCCCAACCGGATGGAGAAATAGAAGAGAAAGAATTTGTAGCATGACCATGCTTCGCAGGGGAGCACTTTCTCCCTCTCTTTCTGTCTCTCTCTGGCAAGAATACATGTCCTCTGGGAATTTATTTTTAGAAAGGGTGATTATGATACATATGCATAGTAACTTTTTTTAATAATCAGAAGCAACTATTACACTTTATTAAAAACACAGAGAAGCATTTCACTTTCCTTTGATTATATAAGCAAGCACAAAGATCAATTTAAAAATAAAATTTACTTTAAACCACTTCTACCCAGGAATATACATCAGAATCACCTATGAAGAAGGTTTGTAAACATATTAGCCTCCAGGCCAGGGTAAGACTACAGTAGGGTAGTGGGGGTTGGGACCAAGTATGCTTAAAAAGCACTGACATATCCTCCTTCTGAGTTACTCACTAACTTTAGGTTGACTGGAGGACTTGGGGTTTATTGGGTCACTGTTTGGGGACGTGGAGCGCTTTCTCTGCAGATTTACTAGAAGTAACGAAAAACTTGGCCCCTGGCTTTCTGGGAGTCTGTCTTGGGTGTTCCCCCACCCCTCCCCCAGTGAAGGGATTCTTTTTTTTTCCATCTCTTAAATTATGGCTTATTCCCCAGGCCTTTACTTGGAGTCTCTAGCTCTGCAGTTTTGGGGCATCTCTGAAGTTGGCAAAATCTTTTCTTTCAGGTGTGTTGGGACAAGAACTCTTTTTTGGAGATGTCTTTTCTGTGCCATGTTTTTGCATCTCTGTATTTCCTTTAGCTGGAGTTTCCTCTATTGGTACTTATTGTAGAATTTCATCTTTAGATTGATATTTCAGTTTAAACTGGGCTTTAACTTGGCCAGTCTTTTCCTTCTCCTGTTTTGTGTTCACTCCTTTCTGGGATCCAGAATTATTTACTGAAGCACCACCAATTTTAGATGCTATGTCATCTTTAGTTAGTACTGAACCTCTTGCATTATCTTTTTGTTTTTCTTCTTCTGTTTTTCATATTCTTTTCTTCTGTGTTTCTCCTTTAACGTTTTCTTCTTTTTCTTCTGAGCAGCAGTGGATACTCTCTTGGCTCCATGCTGACAAATGAGGAGAAGATGGGAATGGCAATCAATTTCTGTTTTCATACAGGAGTGTCGTACTCTCCCATTTCTCTGGCAATTTTTCTGAAAGTCTTTTCGTGACAGCAACAGCATTTTCAACAATGTGCTGGACCTGCATTCCAGTGTGACCAATGCACAGAGTACTGCAAGAACCACTTTTTTGAGATGTTTAAGATGGTTCCACTTACAGAATTATTGATCTCTTTCGATAAATTCTTGGCCATAAGGTTCACACTTACTGGAACTTTCTTTCTTTGATAAAAATACCTCCCGATGCATGAGGGCAAGAGCCACCTGATCCTCTCATCAGTGACAAAGAAGTTAAAACTATTCAGGAAGTAAAGTTTGACTTCAGAGGCTTTATACTCCTTTTTCAAAGATTGGAAAGGAATAATCTGAGAGATTATTTTAACTCCATGCTTATTCAAAAGGTCTCTATAGAAATGTTCTGTCTTTTCAGGAGTCAATTGGGATTATTCTTGGTAAATAAATTAATTTCTGCTAAATCTTTTCAAATACCATTAGGCAAGGGTGATCTGACCTTCAGTTATTTACTAAGAATTTACTAAAAGTAAATTTTTATTCTCATTCAAAAGCAACTCATTATTGTTTTTCCTGATCCTGGCATGTGCCAACAGAGCTTCCAATGCCTTCCTTATCTCCTCTTCATAAAATTGCTCCAGTGAAGTGGGGATCACAGGAACTGAGGGCGAGGCCACTGGCGTGCCCAAAGCAATGCCATGGTGGAAACCAAGACCTCCATGTTGTTCTCATCTTGTGCAGGCATGCGTACAGCCACATAATAACTTTCATAAATTATTTCTGATTATTTTTAAAAATGTATGTTAACTGCAAAAGCTACATAAAACATAGGAAAAAGTAAGAAAAAAAAATCACCCACAATCTTTTATTTCCTTTTTCTTAATTTCATTTATTTTATAATTTCTTATTTATATTTCATTGTTGCATATTTTTGTGAAGCACAATGTTGTTTTTCAAAGCATGATTGTAGTGTCTGATAACCCAATCACAGATATGACCATACTCATCAACAAAGAACCCTGCATTATGTTGTCAACCTTCGGTTTTGCTCTACTAGTTTTGTTTTCTGAGCTAAACACAAACACATACACACACACACATACATACATACATACATACACGTACGTGGCAACATCCCCCTCTTTTATTTTCTTAATTTGCCAGAGAGCATGTGTACTCACTAGGGACAAAGAAAGAAAGAGAAGGCATCCTCTTTGGGGAACCATCACACCATAATCCCTTATCTATCTCTCCCTCCTTTTAGGATTTTGGGCACGCACGCACATACACCCAGCATGTTTCTCAGGTCCAGAAATTTAATCACATATATGTGAGATCTAGTCACCATTACACCACATCACAGGCTGGCCCAACAATACTTCCTTTTTAAAAAAAAAAAAAAAAAAAAACTCTATTGTAGTATACCATTTCATAGCCTATTTGTCTTGTTTTATATGCAATTTTGTGTCTGAGTCTCTCCCCCTAATCCTCTCTCATTTTGTTTTTTTGGAGAGGTTTTTGCTATAGGGCTTGTGCGCTTGCCAGATTAGCGAGAGTGAGAGAGACAGAGAAACAGAAAGTGAGAAATCATCCCCCAGGGGGGATGGCCACACCGCAATCCCTTCTCCTCCATTCTTCTCTCAGGATCTTGGGCACAAACGCACAGATGCCCAGAGTGTCCTCTCTCATTTTTAACATAACTGAGACTATACCATCTTTTATTTCATATTACGTTAAAAGCATTTTCTGTTATCACTTTTCAGTCACAAATTAATCTCTTCTCTTTTGAGACATGGTTCTCTAATCAGATATCACAACCAAAATTAGCTGGTTTCCCCCATAAACACAGACTTTTATCCATTCTTAATTTCAATTACTGTTACTTAACGAAAGTAAAACTACTCTCTGGGACCTGCAGTTGGCATAATGACTATGTCGCTGGACTCCCATGTAGTTGACTGTAGTTCAAGTCCCAGATCCAGTGGCTTAAACTCATACCAGGCGCATGTGCATGCATGCCCAAGATCATGAGAGGAGAATAGAGGAGAAGGGATTGCAGCATGGCCATTCCCCCGGCGGGTGATTTCTCACCTTCTGTCTCTCTGTCTTTCTGTGTCTTTCTGGCGAGCGCACACACCCTACAGCAAAAAGTTCTCCAAAAAAAAAAAAAAAAGTAAAACTAATTTCAAGTACAGTATTATCAAACACAGGGGTAGGTCAGCCTCATTTTTATAAGTTTCTGTGCCCATTTCTATAATTTTTAGTTATAATTAAAGACTTAAGATCACCATCTAAATTTTCAAGACAATTTTTTAGGATTTATCCAAGGGCTTAATAGCAACATACTTAACAAAAAAACTGATACAAGATAAACATGCTACAAAATTACCTTAATACACATGGAATTACCACAAAATGCTCTGAATCATACCACTAGATTTTCATGGAAATAACATAAAAGAAAATCAAGGAACATTCTGTTCCACCTATGCTAGTAACAAGTCTAACTACTTGCTGTAGGATACTGTTCCAACAAACATACCTGATATCTTCATGTCACTGATCATTTTTATACCCTCCTGATAGCCTCATGTATCTTGTCATAAAAAATATAAATGAAGTCTATGTCTTTATGTAACTTATATTTTAGTTGGAAAAATGGCAATAAATTAATAAATATGCAAAATCATGTTAAATAGTGCTATAAAGAAAAATAAAACAGAGTAAACTACAGAATGATGGCAAGGAGGTGTTGTTTAGAACAAAATGGACAAAGAATGCCACTCTGAATAGGAAACATTTAAGCAGAGATGTGAATAAAGTGAAGGACAGACATTTAACTCTCTGGGGAAGAGCATTCCAGGCAGAGAGAAAAGCAAATGCAAAAGATTGAGACAATAATGTCCCAAATGTTGAACACAACAAGTAACTCTTTTTGTAGTTGAGTAGCAAAAGGGCGAGTATAAAAGATGAAGTTGAAGAGTAACTAGAAATTAAATATTGCTTGAGGCTAAAGGACATGGTAAAAGGCTTAGAAACTTACTTTAAGCTGGGAAAACAATGGAAGGCCTAGGGGCAGGAAGGAACATGGTATGACATATTTTAAAAGACTAATCCTGGCTGCTAAATGGAACAAGGGAGAAAAGTTAGTTAGAAATAAAAATGACCAGGGAATCAGTTTGCGTAATGGCTATGTCACTGGACTCCCACGTAGTCGACCGTGGTTCGCGTCCCGGACCTGGTGGCTTAAAACTCACGCCGGGCGCGTGTACGTGCGTGCCCAAGATCCCGAGAGGAGAATGGAGGAGAAGGGACTGCGGCATGACCATCCCCCCTGGGGGGTGATTTCTCGCCTTCTGTCTCTATGTCTCTCTCTGTCTGTCTGGCGAGTGCACGCCCCTATAGTGAAAACCTCTCCAAAAAAAGAAAAAGAAAAAAAAAAAAAAATGACCAGATAATAGCAGAGCATTGAAAGATGACACTCTGCAAGGCTGGCCCACACAGGAAGGTTCAGAGTTTATATCTGGAGAACGTGGCACATGCTGGTCAGGCTAGTAAGACCAGTAGTAGACTGAAACATCACAACACTGTTGGGGTTGTATACACACTTCCTCCCTCTCTTCCCTCATGGAATAAATAAATACACATAAATATAAAGTTTAGGGACCAGCAGGTGACGTGGTGGTCAAGGTGCTAAACTCTCACATAGCTGACCATGGTTCATGTCCCAAACCTGGCAGCTTGAAAGTCACACCAGATGTGTGTGCATGCATGCCCAGAATGTAAGGAAGAAAATGGATGAGAGCATACTGCAGCGTGGCCATCTCCCCTTGTGGATGATTTCTCACTTTCCTTCTCACCGTCTCTGTCTCTCTCTCTGGCAAGTACAACATGCCCTATGGTAAAAACCTCAATAGAAAAAAAGTTCAAGTGAGAGATGATGTTAGTTCAGAATGAAGCAGGAAGTAATGGTATGCAACATATAAATGAATTTGGAACATATGGTACTTTTTTTTTTTTTTGGAGAGATTTTCACTGTAGGGCGCGTGCGCTCGCCAGACAGACAGAGAGAGACATAGAGACAGAAAGCAAGAAATCACCCCCCAGGGGGGATGGTCACACCGCAATCCCTTCTCCTCCATTCTCCTCTCGGGATCTTGGGCACACACGCACACGCGCCCGGCGTGAGTTTTAAGCCACCGGGTCCGGGACACGAACCGCGGTCGACTACGTGGGAGTCCAGCGACATAGCCATTATGCTAACTGCTGGTTCCCGAACATATGGTACTTTGAAGGTAAAATACACAGGATTTGCTGCTGGGTTAGAATGTGAAGTACAGCAATCATTTCAGTGGCACATATACTAACACTGAAATGATACAGAGAAGATTTAGCTTGCTCTCTGCACAAAGATGACATGCTAATTTGTGAAGCACTCCACATTTTTACTCAGGCTTCATGGAATGCTGGATGGTCTCATTAAGGTAGGATGGATGGACTGTGCCATTCAGGACAACTTGTGTAAAAGTTCAGGTATTGCAATAAGTACTACTACTTATTTTCCTCCAGGAGGCACTTTAAATAACAAAGAGAAAAGCAATGTTTTGTTTCTTAATTCACTGGACACTAAAGAAATATATTTGGAAGCAATACATAATCTCCCAGATTTTGAGCTACTTTCAGCAAACATATTAGAGGACCATTTGGCTATGGGTGGCTCTTATTTGTTCATTTTGGGAAAAAGATTAAAACTCAAAGGATCCTGAGTTGAAAAAACTAAAAACCGAAAGAAAAAAAAAAAGTGATCATATTCAAGTTGGCAAGTTTGGTAATTTTTTAAACTCTGTTTCCACCATGTTGAACTTTACTGCCAGAATTAAGAAAAGCATCAAATCTTCTTTATGGTCAACTTGAGTTTGGTACACTAGATTGTGCAACTCACAAAGGGCTCTGTAACATGCGTAACATTCAGGTTTATTCAACAACAGCTGTATTCAACCAGTCTAATTGTCTTGAGTATGAAGGACATCACTCTGCTTGACAGACCCTGGAATTCATAGGGGGCATTAAAAATTCTTCAATGGTCTCCCTTACAACCACCTCTTTCAATGAACTAGTTAAACAGAGAAAACACAAAGAAGTCTTAATGGTTGATTTCTACTGCCCACAGTGTCATCCATGTCAAATCTTAATAATAAAATGGAAAAGAGTAGACTAGACATTAACTGGACTGATCAATGTGGGCAGTAAAGAATGCCTAGAGTATCATTTTTATTTGTGCTCAAGAAAATATTCAGAGATATCTTGAGATAAGATTTTTTTCCCCTCGGGGCCAGCAGATGGCACAGTGGTTAAAGGCGCTGGATTCCCCCAAGGGCGACTATGGTTTGAGTCCTGAACCTGGTGGTTTGCTTTCTCTCTCTCTCTCTCTTTCTCTCTCTCTGGTAAAATTCAAATTTAAAAATGTATAAATAAATAAAATAATTCTTTAAAAAGAAACTAAAAAAGGGACCAGCAGTTAGTGTAATGGCTTTGTCGCTGGACTCCCATGTAGTCAATCGCAGTTCGAGTCCCAGACCCGGCGGCTTAAACTCACACTGGGCGCATGTGCATGCAAGATCCCAAGAGGAGAATGGAGGAGAACAGATTGCAGCATGGCCATCCCCCCTGGGGGGTGATTTCTCCCTTTCTGTCTCTCTGTCTGTATTTGTCTTTCTGGTGAGTGCACGCACCCTATAGCAAAAAAAACCTCTCCAAAAAATAAATAAATGCTCGGCATCAGCAGTTAGCGTAATGGCTATGTCGCTAGACTCCCACGTAGTCGACTGTGGTTCACGTCCCGGACCCGGTGGCTTAAAACTCATGCCAGGCACGTGTGCATGTGTGCCTAAGATCCTGAGAGGAGAATGGAGGAGAAAGGATTGTGGCGTGGCCATCCCCCCTGGGGGTTGATTTCTCGCTTTCTGTCTCTCTGTCTGTCTGTCTGGCAAGCGCACGCACCCTATAGCAAAAAACCTCTACAAAAAAAAAAGAAAGAAAGAAACTTAAAAGATTTTTTCCCCTCAAAAAAATTAAATAAAGCTTATCAGTTTCAAAGTTACAATAGTTGGAACGGGGATGCTTGTTCCATATAAATTGGAGTCTAGGTTATTTTTATTCAAGTATCCATACAGATCTAACACCTCAGATTTTTCAGTGGAAAAGTTTTATAAAAGACAAAACATTAGGTGGTTAATTTCTATGCTCCTTGGCGTGGACCTTTCCAAAATTTTGTTCCAGTGTTTGAGCTCTTGATTAGGATGATTAAAGGAAAACTGAAAGCTAGAAAAGTAGACTATCAAGTTTATGCTCAAACGTGCTAGAAAGCTGGTATCACAGCCTATTCAATTTTACTGGTATGAAAGAACAAAGAGAAATATTTGGGAAGAGCAACTACATGCTGAAGATGCAAAAGTCATTGCTACCTTATTGTATGACAGATTTAAAGTTCTCCAAAATCAAGGAAAGAGAAATAAGGATGAACTTTGATGATTCTTTTTTTTTTTTCTTTTTTTGGAGAGGTTTTTGCTATAGGGTGTGTGCGCTCGCCAGACAGAGAGAGACAGACAGAGAGATAGAAAGCGAGAAATCACCCCCCAGGGGGGATGGCCATGCCACAATCCCTTCTCCTCCATTCTCCTCTTGGGATCTTGAGCACGCACGCACACACACCTGGCGTGAGTTTAAGCCACCGGGTCTGGGACTCAAACCGCGATCGACTACGTGGGAGTCCAGCAACATAGCCATTACGCTAACTGCTGGTCCCAGGATGAACTCTGATGATTCTGAAGACAAAGAAAAAACTGAAAAAGAATTCTGACAAATGACAGCAGAAGACATCATTTAAGATGTTACCACATTTGTGGTGGGGATAAATGATTATTCTGGACTTGTAACTGTACTGCCTGAATTCTATACAACATTGATATGAATGAAGAGTTTGCAAATTCTTCTGTAAAGGGCCAGATCATAAATATTTTAGGCTTTGCAGACCATATGTGGTTCTTAGTCACACATTCTTCATTTTTTAAAAACGATTCTTTAAAAAAAAATACAAATACCATTCTTAGTTCAGGGTCATACATAAATAGACCACAGGCCAAATGCAGTCCATGGACCACTGATTACTGGTCCTTAGAAATAATGTTTTGGATGACCAGATGGGCTGTATTCCAGGGATGCAAGGGTGGTTCAACATACCCAAAACCATAAATGTAATACACCATATTAACAGAAAGAAAGATAAAAACCATACAATCATTTCAATCAATGTGGAAAAAGCATTTGACAAAATACAACATGGCTTTATGATCAAGACTCTCAATAAAATTGGCATAGAAGGACCACTTCTCAGCATAATAAAAGCCATTTATGAAAAACCTACAGCTAACATTATACAAAGCTACCCACTTTCTCTGCTCCTATTCAATAAAGTGATAGAAGATCTAGTCAATGTGATCAGACAAGAGAAGGAAATAAAAGGCATTCCAATAGGGAAAAACTGAAATGACCTCTGCAGATGACATGATTGCATAAATAGGAGACCCAATAGTATCCATGAAAAAACTTCTCAAATAATAAATGCATACAGTAAAGTGGCAGAATACAAAATTAACTTACAAAAATCTATGGCATTTCTATATTCAAACAACTAGCAGACAGAGACAGAACTGAAGAATGTAATTTCATTTACCATAGCCACAAGAAGTATAAGATACTTACAAATAAAACTAACCAAGGAAGTCAACAAACCAAGGAAGACCTCTAGAAGGAAAATTATGAAAACCTTAAAAAGGAAATTGAAAAGGACACTAAAAAGTGGAAGGACATCCCATGTTTCTGGATTGGCAAAATCAACAAAATAAAAATGTCAATCCTACCCAAATTAATCTACATGTTTAACGCAATCCCTATAAAATTACAGGAGACATTCTTCACAGATCTAGAAAAGACAAAGAATTTGTCTGGAACCATAAAAGACCCAGTTTTGCTAAAGTCATCCTGTGTAAGAAGACTGGAGTAAGTGGCATCTTACTTCCTGACCCCAAAATATATTACAAAGCTGTGATAATCAAAACAGCAGGGTATTGGCACAAAAACAGATATGAAGACCAATGGAACAGAGCAGAGACTCCAGAAATAAACCCCAAAACAGACAGTCCACTCATCTTTGACAAAGGGTACCAGTCAATCCAGTGGGAAAAGGGAAACCTCTTTAGCAAATGGTGTTGGAAAAACTGGGTATCCACCTGCAGAAAGATGAATCTGAACCCCTATCTGTCACCATTAACAAAAATCAACTCAAGGACCAAAGGCCTAAACCTAAGACCATAAACTATACAAACTACTTGTGGAAAACACTGGAAAACTCTGGGAGACACTGGGTTAGGCAAAGACTTCTTAAACAAGACACCCCAAATCACAGGCAATAATCCCCCAAATAGACAGGTGGGAGTACATCAGATTAAGGAGTTTCCGCACAGCAAGAGACACTGTACGTAGTGTGAATCAACAACCCTCGGAATAGTAGAAAATTTTTGTTAACTGTGCCTCAGATAAGGGACTGATAATCAGAATACACAGGGAACTCAAGCAGCTTACCTGGAAGAAAATGATTAACCCAATTAAAAGATAGGAAAAAGGAGTTGAATAAACAACTCTCTAAGACATACAGACAGCCAAAAAGCTTATGAAAAAATGCTCAACATTCCTCATTGTAAGGGAGATGCAGATCAAAACCACAATGAGATACCACCTAACCCCAATCAGAATGGCAAAGATTAAAAAAACAAATAATGATAAATGCTGGAGGGGATGTGGTAAAAGAAGAACACTCCTACACACTGCTGGTGGGAATGTAAATTGGTCCAGCCACTGTGGAGAATGATATGGAGGTTCCTCAAAGACCTTCAAATAGAACTACCACATGATCTAGTAATTCCACTCCTGGGTATCTACCCAAAGGACAGGAAAGCACTCAGTTGGAAAAATGCTTGCACAACTATTTTCATTGCAGCATTATTTACAATTGCCAAGACATGGAACCAACCCTCATGTCCACAAACAGATGAATGGATTGAAAAAGTGTGGCACATATACTCCATGGAATACTATTCAGCCATAAAAAACAACAAAGTCCTGGAATTTGATAGAAAGTGGATGAATATGGAAGATTTGTTGCTGAGTGAAGCAAGTCAGGCTATGAAAAGAGATACTGTATGTCTCCACTTAACATATACCAACTGCCCAGACTCTATGGTAGATACTGAAAGACAGGAGAACATAAAAGTATTAAAAATTGTAATGGACACTAGAGACAAAGTGGAAAGAGAGTGTGGGAGGGGAAGAGTGTAGGAAACTTGTGGGGGAAATGGAGAGGTAAGACACTTGTGGGACACAGATAAGGTTTATTATCTGTTGATGAGGATGTGTATGTGGTCTCAACTGGGCTGAACGGAGGTGTATATCATGCTGTGTAAAGTCTCTTCACACCTAAATGATGCATAGTGATTTAATGTATGAATAAATTTTTTAAAATAAATAAATACTTCTATCACAGAAAAAGAATAAATAATATTTTGGGTAGGTAATTCTAACATGAGCCCTCTCTGCTATTTATTATATACATGTCTAAAATGTACAAAGCGGGGACCAGCAATTAGTGTAATGTTGCTGGAATCCCTTGTAGTCAACCACAGTTCGAATCCTGGACCTGGGACTTAAACTCATGCCGGGCGCATGTGCATGTGTGCCCAAGATCCTAAGAGGAGAATGGAGGAGAAGGTATTATTGCAGCATGGCCATCTCCCCTGGAGGGTGATTTCTCGCTTTCTCACATGGCCAACCATGGATAGAGTCCTAGACCAAGCGGCTTGCTTTTTCACTTTTGCTCCCTCACTTCTCTTTTTCTCCCTCTTCCCTCCCCCCACTTCCTCCCCCTCTGGTCAAGGTAAAAACTAATTAATTAATTAATTTTAGGATTTATTTATTTATTTAAAGAATTACTTATTTAAATTAAAAAGGAAGAAAAACACACTGGGCATGTGTGTGAGTGCCCAAAATTGTTACTGGAAGGAAATATGGAGGAAAGGGGATTGTAATGTGACCAAACCCCACGGTGAGGGGTGGGGGAAGGGCTCACTATCTCTGGGGGATTCTCTCTCTCTCTCTCTCTCTCTCTCTCTCTGGCAAGAGCACACACCCTCTGAAATTAAAAAAAACAAAAGCAAAAAGGAACCCCATCTTCAATAAATTCTAAACAAACTGCCTTCAACCCTCCATATTCAAGGTTTCTCATTTGAAAATCCAACCAACCTTGAATCAAAAATGTTACAGTGTCTCTAATGTGTATTATGTAGTTAGGCCAAGGATGGTCATGTTCTTGTTGAATGTGTACAAACTGTTTTCTAGCCATTATGATACAAGTAAATTATACTTTTATTTGAAATATGCATTATAGTAGCTATTATAAGAAATAAGGATAATTAAAAGTATACACGGTAGGATGTATGCAAATACTATGTCATTTTATATAAGCGACTTGAGAATTCTTATATTTTGGTATCTGCAGGGGAGTCCTGAAAGCTAGTCCCTGAAGATACCAAGGGAACAAATATTAGCAAATCAAATTCAGCAGTGTATTAAAGGAATGATAAATCATGACTAAATGAAATTTATTTCTAGAATGCAAGGATAGTTCACTTACAATGATGAAGCAATGTAATACATCATTTTAACAGAACAAAGTGAGAAAAAAATATGTGATCACCTCAACTGATGCAGAAAAACCACCTGACAAAATTCAACATCTTTTCATGATAAGAACAAACTAGGAATAGAGCAACCACGACATAAAGTCATACATGAAGAACATATAGCAGATATCATACTCAATGGTAAAAGTCTAAAAGCTTTTTCTTTAAGATCAGGATCAAGGCAAGGACACCTATTTTCAACACTTCTATTCAACATGATACTGGATGTTCTAGCTAGTGCAATTGGGCAAGAAAAAGAAGTAAAAGGTATCCAAATTGAAAAGATAAATGAAATTATTTATTTACAGATGATATAATTTTATGTGTAGAAAACCCTAAAGATTATACATATACACATATAGGCACAGTTAGGAGTACAAATTAATTCAACAAAGCAACAGGATGCAAAATCAACACACAAAATCAGCTGCATTTCTATGCATAATGAACATCCTCAAAAGGAAATTAAGGAAACAATTCTATTTATAATACTATCCAAAAGTATAAAATACTAAGGAATATAATCAAGGAAGTGAAAGATTTTTATACAGCAAAAACTACAAAACATTACTGAAAGAAATTTAAAAACAAATAGAAGAAAATCCAGCATTCATAGATTAGAAGACAATCCTGTTGTCAATATTACTCAAGGAATCTACAGATTCAATTCAATCCCTGTCTAAATCCCAATTACTTTTTTTGTTTTTGTTTATTTTTATTTATTTATTTATTTACTTTTGGAGAGGTGTGGGCTTTTGGGGTTTTTTTTGTTTGTTTGTTTTGGTTTTTTTTTTTTTTTTTGCTATAGGGCATGTGCACTTGCCAGAAAGACAGAGAGAGACAGAGACAGAAAGTGAGAAATTATCCCCCAGGAGGGATGGCCATGCCACAATCCCTTCTCCTCCATTCTCCTCTCAGGATCTTGGGCATGCACGCACATGTGCCTGAAGTGAGTTTAAGCTGCTGGGTCCGGGACTCTAACTGCGGTTGACTACAAGGGAGTCCATAGCCATTACGCCAACTGCTGGTCCCCCCAATTACTTTTTTTGTAGAATTAGAAAAATCAATCATGGGGCTGGCAGATGGCATGGTTGTTACAGTGCTGGACTCCCACATGGCCAATCACAGTTTGAATTCTGGACTTGGCGGCTTGCTTGCTTTCTCACTTTCGCTTTTTCTCTCTCTGTCTTTCTCTGGTAAAATTTTTAAATAAATAAATAGGGAAGCCAGTAAATGGCATAAGGGTTATGTCACTGAACTCCCATGTAGTCGAACTTGGTTTGAGTCCCGCACCCAGCAACTTAAAACTCACACTGGCCATGGGTGCATGCATGCCCAAAATCCTGAGAGGAGACTAGAAGAAAAGGGATTACAGAGTGGCCATCCCCCCGGGGGAGTGATTTCTCACTTTCGGTTTCTCTGTCTCTCCAGCAAGCACATGTGCACTATAGCAAAAATCTCTCTTAAATTAAAAAAAAATAAAAAGAGAAGGAACTGCCGCATGACATAAATAAAGTTAAAAATTCCCAAACTCCAAAGTTTATAAAGTCCAGCATGGTCTGTACTTGTCGCAGCTCTTGTCTCACTATTTCCCCACTAGTCCTTTCAGTTCATCTATGCTATATCCTTTCCTGTTCAGAGAACTTTATTTATGCTGGGGGTTTTGTGTGTGTATAAAATGCTCTGTCCTTACCCTTCTATGCCACTTACCTTTCTGTCTTTTATACTACAACTTCAAGGTTCAAATCAAATGTCACCTTGGAGACACTTTCCCCATTCTAGATTAAGTAAAATATCCTCATATACTTCCTTAGAATTGCAATTCTCCCTTTAATATGAGTCATTATACTTAAGCCCTATTCAATGTTTGCCTTCACTAATTCTTAGAAATTCTGAGAGCAAGAACCATGACTTTTGTGTTCACCACTGCCTAGACCTAGCAGATGAGAACTTGATTAGTATCAGTTGGATGGACTGACTGTACCTGACAACTTTAAACTTAGGAATCAGCATTTTTTTTTTTTTTTTTTTAGAGATTTTTGCTATAGGGCACGTGTGCTCGCTAGAAAGATAGAGAAAGACAGAGAGACAGAAAGCCAGAAATCACCCCCCATAGGGGATGGCCACGCCACAATCCCTTCTCCTCCATTCTCCTCTCAGGATCTTGGGCACGCACGCACACGCACCCGGCGTGAGTTTAAGCCACCAGGTCCAGGACTCGAACCTCAGTAGACTACATGGAAGTTCAATGACATAGCCATTACGCTAACTGCTGGTCCCGGGAATCAGCATTTTTTAGGATGAGAAAAATTTGTCTCGAGAATGTTCTCTCCTGGGGGCCAGCAGGTGGTGTGGAGGTTAAGGCAGCTGGATCCCACATGGCTGACTCCATGGTTTTAGTCCCAGACCTGGTGGGTTGAAACACACCAGGCATGTGTGCATGCATGCCCAAAATCCCGGGAGGAGAATAGAGAGAAGGGACTGCAGCATGGTCATGCCCCCTGGGGAGTGATTTCTCACTTTCCCTCCCTCTTCTCACCCTCTAGCATGTGCACACACCCTATAGCAAAACTTACAGAAAACAAAAAGGAACGTTCCCCTCCTGACAATGTGAGATAAAAAAAAGCCATCATCATTTTCAAGGCTATCACTTCAGTTACTAATGTAAGACTGGACAAATACCTCATATTAGATTAGTATAATAAAAATTTTTTAAATTCCATATAGATTTACCACTTGGAAAATAAATAAAAATGTGTTTTTGTTTTTGTTTAACTTACCAAAATATTTTTCTTATGCCGTTTCTCTTTTATATGTTTATGAGCTCCCTGGATGTTTTCGATGTGAATTAGGCAAAGTTTGCATAGATACCGGCAATTGGTATATTCTGGAGATCGCTGGAGAAACAAATTTTAAAAATGCATTTTTTCAGAAAACGAAAGAGTAAATTATTGACTATATAAGTGAATAATACAGTTAAGTAAATGCAACAGAAATAAGCACTGAAATAATCAGGTTTTAATAAACACTATATATATACCTAAGAGACAGTTGTCCTTTCTAAAATAGTCATCACAGGAGAATATATGCTAACTTCAAACAATATCACGGTAATGCTACATATGTTTAACAGTCACAAATAACTTTAGAATGAAATGTAAGATAAGAAAGATAGTCTTGCTATTTAGTCTCATTCCAATGTTGTCCCCAAAATTGGTTTCAAACCTTTCAGTCTTTTTACTATAAAAATAAATTCTGGGCCAGTTCAGTAGTCTGGTGGTTAAGGAAGCTGGATTCCACATGGCCAACCAAGTGGTTCCAACCTCTACCCTTTCCAGGAACATGTACATGAGTGCCCCAAATCCCAAAAGAAGGGGGAAATGGAGAAGAAGGGATTGTGGCATGACCATGTCCCAAGGCGGGGTGAAGGGATTCCTTTTCCCTCTCCCTCTCTCTTTTTCTCTCTAACAAGTACATGTTCCCTCTGGCAATAAAAAGAAAAATAAATAAATAAGAGTACAATGAATTAAAAACAAGAAGTTTGGAGGACAATGAGATGTCAAAAAACAAAAGAATAACAGACATCTCTACTGGCACTGGCACAGTAACATCACTGCTGACTATCAGAATTCAATAGCAAAATGTTTTCTAACACTTAGAAGCTTTCCTTTCAATATAGGCCATTCTTTCCCACTACCATCAAATACACTTTTCTATTTCAGCTTCTTCTTTCTCTTAATAACTGACCTTTACTGCATTCCTATGTTCCTTCCCTGTCTAGTTCACTGCTTTTCTTGAAAACATTTTCACATTTCCTTTATACATGCCATATAATTTACCTACGCCACCCTTCTACCCACCTAATTTAACTCCTAGCCATGCCTTTACACTGAACTTCAATGTCATCTCCTTATATAGCATTCCCCAAACTGATGCCTCTATATCTTCAGCTCAAGTTGGTCATTCTTTATGATCTTGTTTCAAATAAAATCATTATCATTACTATTATTTGCTTACTTGTCTTTCTCTAATTAGTAGACTCTTAGGAACACAGTATTATGTTTTCAAAAAATGTCAGACAAATGGTCTCAATTCAACTTTTTTTTTTGAAGAGGTTTTTGCTATAGGGTGTGTGCGCTTGCCAGAAAGACAGAGACAGTAAGCAAGAAATCACCCCCCGGGGGGATGGCCACGTCGCAATCCCCTCTTCTCCATTCTCCTCTCCATATCTTGGGCACACACGCACGTACACCCGGCCTGAGTTTAAGCCACTGGGTGTGGGACTCAAACCGCGGTCAACTACATGGGAATCCAGCAACATAGCCATTATGCCAAAGACAAGGTCTCACCTAAGTTGTGATCTTCCTTTCTCAGTTTAACAAACAGCTGAGACTATAGGCACATGTCAAGACACCCAACTTTTACTGTGGTCTAGAAATCAGACCAGGGCTTCTCGTGTGGCCTCAGCCTGTGATGTAGGAGAATCAACCAGCATGCTACCACAGCTAGGCCCTAATTCAACTTCTTATCATTAGATAAGATCACATGAAAGATACTCAGTATCTTGACAACAGACGGATCCAGAAATAACTACTAATTCCACATTTAGGAGAAGGAAAGTGATAGGACTAAAGATATAGTTAAATAAATACAAATTCTAAAAAAGACTTCCTTTTTTAAAAAAAAATTATTTATTTAATTTTATGTATTATTATTTAATTTGCTAATGGGCATGTGCACTAATCAGAGAAAGAGCAAGAACAAAGGGAGGGAAAAAAGAAAAGAGAAGAAAAGAAAGAAAAAGGAAAGATGAATGCTACCTCTGTCTTATGCCTAAAAAAAAAAGAGCGGTACTTAGAAAGAAGTTATAAAATACACATTAATAACTAAAACAACAAAGCATACTTTTTCAAGTCGAAAGATGTGATCTCTTTCTAGGCGTTCTTCTGCTTGTTTCAAGCCTAGCCTCTGCTCAGGTGTCAATGTTGATTCATCTATAACAGTGGCATTTTCTAAATAGTCCATCTCTGAAGAATTTTCTTTATTAGGTCCATCATTCTTCATTTTACCTAAAAAGGAAGAAATCACCTAGTTATTATTATAACATTTAGTAAATTTTTTAAATTTTTAATGGAAAACAGACCTTTCCATTAATTTATACACAAACAGAAAGAAAGGTTTTCCTGGAACCAAAAGATGGCGTAATGGTTACGTCACTGGACTCCCACATGACTGACTGCCATGGCCAACTGCAGTTTGAGTCCCAGACCAGGCAGCTTAAAAATTATAACAGGCTTATATGCATGTGTCCAAAATTCTGAGAGGAGAATGGAAGAGAACGAACTGCATCATGGCCATTCCCCCGGGGTGATTTTTTACTTTCCCTCTCACAATCTCTGTCTCTTTCCAAAGAGTGTACATGCTCTATAGCAAAAACCTTAAACAAAAAGCCAGGCCAGCCAATGGTATGGTGGATAAGGCAGATACATGCCATATGACAGGCTGCATGGTATGAGTCCTGGACCTGGCAGCTTCAAAAACACACCAGGTGCATGCCATGTGCATGCATGCTCAAAATCCCAAAAGGAAAAATGGAGAAGGGATTGAAGCAAGGCCATCCCCCATGGGAAAAGATGCTTTCTCATTCTCTCTCTTTCTCTAGTGAATATACATGCTAACAAATTAAAAAAAAAAAAAAAAGAAAAGAAAAAAAAGAAAACTATATATGATATCTAGAAGAATGCTAACAGTCAATTCTACTTTTTAAAAAATTTATTTCTTATATTAGATTCTGAATCGAGGACAGAGTCAAGAGAGAGATGAGTACCCCATCAGCGTTCCATGCCACAATCCATCCATCTTCCTCCAGTCCTCCCAATCTGTCAGAATCATGGATGTGTACACGACATGCACAAGTTTGACTGGTGAACCGAGCCTGCAATGCCCCCACATGGATCCTGCATTGCTTAGATAGTACATTACCACTGCATCACCTAGCTGGCCCTGATTCTACCTTCTGACAGCACTAATATTCTGAACAAAGAAACAGTATGACTCTGGGTGTAGTACATTTTCTACCACAAGAGCACAAGGGAAGGACTCAAATACCGTAAGTATGGTTACATTAAATGAGTTAGTGTTAGGGTTTCTTTTTTTTTTTCCCTTAAGTTTGTTTCTTCCATGAGACAGTAAGAGAGACAGAAAGACAAGAATGGGAGGAAGGAAGAAAGGTGACGCAGGCGCCCCCAATAGGGTCTTCATACTGTGATCCATTCCCAGCCTCAGCCAACCCAGATCACACCTGGCATGTACAGGGAGGCTGCAGAAGGAAAACCTGGTACCCTCCTTTGTGGGTCCACTTGTGTTACCACTGTGTCACTGCCTACCCCTATGTTTATTTCTTTTCTTTTCTTTTTAATTTGCCAGAGGGCACATGTGGTTGCCAGAAAGAGACAGACTGACACAGTGAAAGAGAGAAGGCACACCCCACGGGGACAAGTCCCACCACAGTCTCTTTGCCATTTCTCCTTCCTTTCAGAATTTTGGGTGCACACATGCAGGAACCAAGCAGATTTTTCAAGTCAGTGGGTCCGTGATTCAAAGTGCATGTTAAGCCATGTGGGATCCAGATCCCTTAACCACCAGGCCACAAGTCTGGTCCTGTGTTTCTTAAATTATAATCAGGGGAATGCTGATACACTGTGAACAATTTACAATCATGTCCTGATATTTGGAAGAAATAGTTTGGCTTTTTAGTAGTTATTTTATTATGGAAATATAAAAGAAAAGAAGAAATTTTTGTTTTATCAATAGTTCACTTTATGAAAAAACGACTGTAGTGGGCCAGATGGTGGTGTGATAGTAATGTGGCTGTATAATACACAATTGACTATGAGGTTCAAGTCCTGAACTTAGTGACTTAAAGACATCCCAGGCACATGCACATACATGCCCTAAATCCTGAGAGGAGAATGGAAGAGGAGGGCCTGTGGTGCAGCTATCCCTCTGGGGAAGCTTTCTCACTTTCTCTCTATCAGTCTCTCTGTATCTCCTCTCTCTCTCTCTCTCTCTCTCTCTCTCTCTCTCTTGTGAGTGCACATGCCCTGTAGCAAACTTAAAAAAAAAAGACAGTAACAAAACAACATAATATAATCTACTGCTCTTTTCTATACGTATGACTTGTCATGCACAATAAAGCAACCAAAATGATCATTTCTGCCAACGTAAAGAAGTAAAGAAAGCTACATAGCTTTCTTTAAAAATAAAAAATAGGGACCAGCAGTTAGTGTAATGGCTATGTTGCTGGACTTTCACGTAGTCAACCACGGTTCGAGTCCCGGACCCAGTGGCTTAAACTCACACCGTGCATGTGTGCATGCGTGCCCAAGATCCTGAGAGGAGAATGGAGAAGGGATTGCGGCGTGATTTCTCACTTTCTGTCTCTCTGTCTCTTTCTGAAGAGCGCACGTACCCTATAGCAAAAATCTTCAAAAAAAAAAAAAAAAGTCAAAAATAGGGTCCGGTCCAAGAGGGCCAGATCCCACATGGCTATCCATATGGTTTAAGCCCAGGTGACTTGAAAAACACAACAGGCACAGGTATGTGTGTCTAATCTCACATAAACTACAGATCACAGTTTATGACATCCTACACAATACTGAGTCAACAGAAAAGTAATGACATATTTTTCTGTTTTTATATGCAAAAATGCATCATGACTTTTCTGATGACCCAGTATTTTATTTTGTACATTGGTTCCAGAAAACGGAGTAATTTCATTTATTTCTGACCTTCTCCCCCGCCGCCCCAGGATGCATGTACTCACCAGAGGCACACAGAGAGAGAGGGAAAAGGGAGAGGGGAAAAAACATTCTCCAATGGGATGTAGTCACACCACAATTCCTTCTCCTCTATTTGTCCATCCTGTTGGGATTTGGAGCATACATGCCCATGTATCTGATATGTTTTTCAAGTCACTGGAACTGGGATTCAAACCACAGTAGGAGAGTCTTAAAATAATAGAATAACTTGGCACAGTAGTAACACACTGTTCAAGAGAAGTTGTATTTCACATGGCAACCACAGTTCAAATCCCTGTCCTGTCAGCCTGAAAAACACTGAGCATGCACATGAATACCCAAGATCCAATGGACTAAAGGACTGGAGATGTGATGTGACCAAACCCCGTAGACAGTGCTCTTCTCTCTCAATCTCATGTGTACATGCACTCTATCATGAGAAAAGAAAAAATAGTAAAAAAAAAAAAAAAAAAAAAAAGGTGATGAAGTAGGCCTAGCTTAGTTGGCACAGGTAAGTAGCATACTGATAATGCAATACTGAAAACTACATGGCCAGCTGTGGGCTTAGATCTCAAATCAACCTGAAATACACTGGGTATGTGGACCCAGCATCTTGACTAGCTGGAAGGTTGGGGTAAGGGCATCATGGTATAAGGAAACCCCAAGGGTGTCCCAATCTCCCCCTCACTTTTTTCCTCCCTCTCTCTCTCCCTCATCAAAATAAAAATTTTTTACAGGTGGCATGGTGACTGAGGCACTGGACTCTCACATGGCTGACCACCATTTGAGTCCCGGACTCGGCAGCTTGAAACTCATTCTGATCATCTGTGCATGTGTGCCCAAAATCCCAAGAAGAGAATAAAGAAGGGATTGTGACATAGCCATCATTTCTCACTTCTTCTGTCTCTCCAGCAAGCACATGTTGCCTTATAGCAAAAATCGCTCTTAAAACAAACAAAAAAGAAGGTGAAGAATGAAGCCAGCCCCCATAGCCTAGCAGTTAAGGGAAGCCAAATCCCATATGGCCAAACACAGTTCAAGTTCCAGCCCAGCAGCTTAAAAAACATGCCAGGCCACATTTGTGTGCATGTCCAAAATCCCAATGGGATGGAGAAATAGAAAAGAGACTGCAGTATAATCACACTCCACCAAGGAGTGCATTCTCTCTCTTCCTTACCCTCTCTGGCAAAGGCACACACACCCTAAGGGAACTTTAAAAAAAAAAAAAAAAGAAAGAAAGAAAGAAAGCAGAAAGCAAAAGAGGTTAAGAAAGCTGGACATATGGACATCAAGGGAATAAGTTCTCCAGGTGGAGGAAAAAGCAAATGCAAATACAATGGCCCTCAAGATAGACACCTGCCTTCATGCCTGAGAAAATACAAAGAAACTATGCAGCTGGAGCAGAGAGAAAAGGGTAAGATGTAGATGAATGAGGGCAGAAAAAGAAGTATCACAGACCACGTAGGGCCTTGCTAGTCACTGTAAGAACATTAACTTTTACTTGGATGTATGGGAAGCCATTGAAATATTTTAAATAGTATTAACATGATCTGATTCATTTTAACAGGATCATCTGGTTGCTATATTGAAAATACAATGAACGGTGATACAAGTGAAAACAAGGCAACAAGTATGGCATGAGCATCAGATCACTTTGGAGCTTGTCTGAAATCCAAGTTCATGGGCCAGCCTGTATCCTGGTAGTTAAGAACCTAGATTCCACACGGTCACCTGCAGTTTGAGTCTCAGACTCAGCTTGAAAATCACAATGGAGGGGCCAGCAGGTGGCATGGTGGTTAAGGGCACTGGACTCCTACATGGCCGACTATGGTTCAAGTCCCAAACCTGGTGGCTTATTTTCTCACTTTCTCTCTTTCTCTGTCCCTTTCTGGTCAAATTAAATAAATAAATGGTTAAATTTAAATAAAATAATTCTAGGGGGGAAAAAAAGAAAGAGAAACACAATGGGTGCATGTGTGCCCAAAATCCAAAAGGAAGGAGAGATGGAGAAGGGATTGCGCATGACCATTCCCCCTAGGGTTATTTTCTCCCTCTCCCTCTTTTGGTGAGCACATGTGAATTCTAGCAAATTAAAAAAATATGTTTTTTCAACTCCAATTTTTCAGCCCTACTATAGACCTTCAGAATCAATAATCTCTGTGAATAAGGCCCCCAAATCCACATTTTAATATGATTCATATGAATATTAAAGTTTAAGAAGCTTAGATCAAGAACACTCATCCCTCTTACATAGACCTGACTCGTTCATT